AAAAAAATTTTTTTTTTTTTTTTTTTTTTTTTTTTCGATTGAATTACGGTTTCAACGAATACACAAAAAACCTTTCTCCACGATTATATGTAGGGGGGGGGGGGAAATATTAGCAAACTGAAATAAAAAAAAAATAAAAAAATGCTCCATAAAATTCGTGTTCAAAAGTAGCTCTTAAAGTATAGCATACGTGCGCAGGGAGACGCGAGGTGTCTATGTCTGTCACTTGACAATGCCTAGTGAAAAATTCAGGAGCTAAAAAGATTAGGTATTAGGTACAACGAACATTTCACCAAAGAGCTGTCGCGCGTCCCTTCAACTGTATAGGTATACGTGTGTGCAGCCACATATGTATATACGTACAGGGTACTGCGTACGCATCAGCCGTTATAAACGAAATCACGTGCCCATAGCACCCGTATAAATAAGTTCCACGGCCGTACAATATACACATACACCTAAACGTGGAAAAGAGCTCAGGGTATATATATATATAATATATAGGTATCACGTTACGAGGAGTGCATTTTACTTCGAAACAAAAAGCCGACGATGGAAAAAGTAACAATGGTTATACTTGGTAAAAGAAATGAAAAGGAAAGAAGAGAGAGAAAAATAGAGGGCGGAGGAGCACGTGAAACGCGCGGTGTATAGGTGTATATATATATATAAAAAAAGCTTTCACGTTAATCCGCGAAGCCGTCCGCGGGGGAGTAAACAAGCCTCGAGGAGGACGAGAGAGCTATGTAAGTAGCGCACGGGGTGTGTTATACTTGTCCATCACTCGACTCTCCATTGTATTTATATACCTATAAACACTGTAAGTATAGGTAATAAATATGTGGAGAAACGGAAAACAAACAGATATAGGTATATATACATACATAGATTAGGAGGTATAAAATCGCGAAGTGACCTCATGTATACGGCGGCCGAACAATTTTCCAATCACCCGAGAGGAAAGACCGTGGCGGTGGTGGATACCAGCTATATTAGGCCGAGGTGCGCACCGGCCGCGAGAGCCGGTATATATGTACGGTTATCGAATTTTCGACGGTCCTCCCCTATGACAATCCGAGGGTATACATTATACAGGTATACAGAAGCGAACGGACGCGATTCCGTGCAAGGCTAATTTCATCAGCTACGCGCTCACTGTAATCCTACACAGGTGTTGGTGTATTGTATACATCACCTACGTTGAATTTCGCATTACCGTGTGCTCGCGAATGCTCTTGAGTTTCATCCTTTTTTTTTTTTTTTTTTTTTTTTTTTATCGCCTCTTCCTTCGGCTCGTGGGCGTCGAAAAACTCGTCCAGGAAGCGTGGAAATTTATCTGAATATTGAAAATCAATGGAAATCAGATGTCATTTGTCGGGAACGAGGGAGAAAAAAAGAAAAGAAAAGAAAAGAGAAAAAACAGTTTATTGGACTAGATGAGATATCCGCGAAATGTGTTTACGGTGACAGTGACGCAATTCAAGTCATCCTGACGCACTCCAGTGATAGGTGCAATCAAGTGATGCACCCTATATAAGAAATCCTTGACTCACGTCCATTAAAAAAAAAAAAAACTTTTATAGGAAAAATAAAAAAGTTTATCGAATATATTTGCCTGAGGGGGGGAAATGAAAAAGTTCCACCGAGCTATTTTCGACAGCAAAAAAGGGGTAAGAGAGTTTTTTGCTTCCCGCGGCTGACGCGTTATCGATGAAAGGACGGGCTTCGCTCTCCCAACGGGAAAATTCGCCGCGGAGCAACAGGTTTCGCCGTGCCCCCCACGCGCGTTCGGACCAGCTTTTCGGATATTGCCGGCAGATGTTGATTTTACAGATAGTCCCGTGCAAAAAGTTTTATTGCGTTTTGAATACTCTCGGGCTCGCTCGAGCTGCCATCAACCAAGAGAATATGAATTTTTAGTCAAGGAGTCGCTGCCAAACGACGATTTTTTTTTTTTTAGTTAACACACAACTGTTACTCAAATCGCAAACCTCCACCGTAATAACTGTTGGGTGTGCTTTTATATTTTTCTTTTTTAAACAATATTTTTTCTCTTTTAAATTTTGTACTTTTTCACCACCATCAACAAAATAAGCTAAACAAATACCAAAAGATTCGCCCCTGATATTAAAGCCACATCCAAGTACACACGAGTACAATAACAAGCGCGAATGAACGAAACCATGTATACCAATGTGAGAAAAATATGATTCTACACAGTTGGCGATGCTATTTGTGTTAAG